TTGCACTATTCAATTATAAACTTTATAATTGATTTCTATTTATAACTTTAGGTTTTATTGATCTTAGTAAAAATTTTATATATTTAACAACCCATTGCGCTACCGCTCACTAGCAATGCCAAAAACGGACTTAATGCAAAGCAAAACAACTGATGTTCATTTGCCTACTCGTGTGCTTAATGCAATAAACTAAGCCCTATTTTGGAATATCCTAACCCTAAATCATTTCATTTGCTCTTCACTATTTTAGCATTTCTTAATTCGTACAAACATATTAATGTTTTGCGACTCCGTTGCCTAGTACTAGCATTCACTACGGTGGATGAACGTCTCGCGACAATCCAACAACGTAAGAGAAGGTGAAGATGAAGCCTTTTATGAGCGGCTAGAACATACTTAAGAGCGCTGCCCCAACACGATGTCAAAATTGTGCTTAGCGACTCCACCGCCATGGTGGCAAAAAGGTATCTTTGGTAAAACTGTTTGAAAATTCAGTCTCCACGACTAAACATCCCCACACGGGCTGGGGTTAATCGGCTTCACCGGAGCCCAAAGTATGGTTGTCTGCTACTTGACAATACCTTGATCAAAAAACACAAACCCAGATCGATATACTCGTAGACGGAAAACAATTCTCCAGTATTTTTGATGTGCATACACTCCGAAGACCCAACATCGCCTCGAACAACTATCTTGTTATTGCGAAGATACGCATGAGTATCAAAAAACATGCGGAAAAGAAGAAGAAAGAAAGAGGTGCGCGGTTATGAGAAGCTTGAAAAGCTTGCCGACAAGTGTAATGCTTGAATTTTCTACGAAAAAATACGACGACTTACGGAAGGTTTAGAGACTGGAGCGAACTCTTGTAGGATTCAGAGGGATGAGCTATTGGCGGAGGCCCAGAGTATATTAAATTTATGTAGGGAACACTTCCCCAGCTCGCTGAATTGCAGTGAAACTGAATCATCCGGAGATGGTGTACCCGCAGTCCCAATCGAAGACAATGTAACAGACATTCCATTACCTGATCAAGTCGAAATTCATAAGAAGGAAAAACAAAGTGAGTGAGGTTGATGGCCTACCGGCAGAGCTATTTAAACATGGCGGTGCAGATAAGCTTCTTTGCAAAATATGGTTGGATGAAAGCATGCCCAACGATTGGAACATATGTGTACTCTGCACAATCCATAAAAAGGAGACCCCACAATCTGTGGCAACTACCGCTGGATATGCCTCGTTACTAAAAGATTGTACATCTTTTATTCAGCTCCTAATATTTTCTCGAGCAGTAATTTAAAGAAGTCACACTATAAGGAATCACCTTGTCTGAAACCTCGGCCGGTTTCGAACGGCTCGTAGAGGTCCTTCTCGATTCTGACGGAGCTTTAACTGTTGCTTAAGTTTACACAGCGGTATAAGGGGGCAGCTTCCTTCATGTTATCGATTCCTGCTTTAAAATCGACGAAGAGGTGGTGTGCGTCATGTCTTTTTTCACGGTTTTTATCCAAGATTTGACGCATGATGAATATTTGGTCATTGGTTGGCTTACCAGGTCTAAAGCCACACTGATAAGGTCCAATCGGTTTGTTGATGGTGATGGATGGTCGGTAATCCTTCGCTCTAAGAAAGGTTGTTCTAATGTTCCCTCTTACATGCCCAACTGTATGAGGAGTTCTTTAAGCACTTGGATACTGTAAATCTCTTTGCTGAATTTTTCAATTCTAACTATGGACTATGAGAACGTCGACATTTCCGACTGTAATAATCTGGAAATTTCACAGACTTTAGATCTCGGTATTTCTTTCAGTCAAAGAAATGGTTGTTTTGAATGTGATTGCTTTGCAACTATCTATGAGAAGCGATTTTGACGGGCTTTCTTCTTTTTTATTTAAACAGTGTAGCTTGTCTATTTCCGCTCCCTTAAATACATTTTTAATCTTTCACTGTCGTCTACTGTTTTCATTAATCGTTGGAAAATTGTTTACATTTCTCCGCTTTTTAAGTCTGGTAACAAAAATTATGTTAAAAATTAAGTTATCGACTGGTTCGAAACTTCCCGAGAAGGTAGTAAAGCATAATTTTTTTTGCTGTTACGGTTCCATTAGCCCTCGCCTGCGCGGTTTTGTTAGTGGTCGTTCTACTGTCACTAACCTATCTTGTTTTTCAAGTTATCGCACTGCACTACGTTTACAGTAGGATCTTAACAATTTATCTAATTGAAGCATTTCAGAATAATAATAGTTTTCCTCATAGAACCATGTGCACTCATTATCCGTTCTAGTTATATGTAATTCAAGGCAATTACCAAAATTACGATCCTATTGTTAGAGCACTCTCTGAATTTTATAGAATCTATAGAAGCCTTGATCTTGATTTCGCAATCCCGAGATCTCGTTTTAAAAAAAAAAATTATAAATTAAGCATGATTCACTTTGATTCACTTTTGCAAAGGTAATAAAATCAATTGACACTCTTTCCATTGATTATTAATGATATGGATTTAAACAGAAACTCATTGAACATTTGATACACGACCTATATTTTTTATGGGTTTCTCAGATACCTTTTGGTAGTAATAATATGTAGTGGTATTAATATAGTTAATAATACGGTTAGTAGAATACTTTTCAAGCACATATAATCATTAATTTAATTATATTTCACTCTGTTTAAAAATATTCAATAATGTAAACTAAAAAAAAATGTTGTTTTAGTACTTTAACTGTAAATATAATCCCATTATAATGACTTTAACAAAGGCACACATAACTGGACATATAATATGCAATTCCACAGAAACTAAAACATTCTAACATAAAAACAGCTTAAAAAACTAAAAAGAAAAATATAATACACATTTTTTTAACATTCAGATGTGAATATTATACCTAACAAAGATGACTGTAAGATTACAACAAATAAACTTTCCACACAACCGCAAAAGAGAGAAAAAATAATTAAAAAACATGCGTTAGAGGCAGATAAACATATTTTTTCTTATTCTAATTAACATATATTAAGTAAACAGAAAAGCTTTCTGACCATTCCAATTTGAGCAATCTTGAGTTAAATGTTATATGTATAAAAATTGCATAATTGATGTCTATATAACGACATCTGTCAACCAACTGTGCCCACTTTTGGCATAGCTTTGTGCAACTAAATTTGAATACACATTTTTTCGCATAAAATATATAATTGTTAAAAATGATTAAAGAGAGGACCATGTTTTTGTTGAAATATTACCAATTTTCTTTGGATCACAATGTTGTAGAAACGCAATATAAGTATTTCGATTTCAATGATTGTCAGTGCAAATACTTGAAATAACGCATGAACGACCCCAAGTCTCGTGGATTTTTGACAAATTTATGACCCAAAATTTAAAAATCTGCATAATCGGTCCAATAAATGTTATCATACTGCCAACTAGCCGTTTCCGACAAATAATCAAAACAGTATAAAGCTACATTCCCGTACCAAGTTCGGTTGAAATATTATATTTAAAATTATGAATTTATGTGTGTCTCTCTCTTCACCTCCTGGTATTTACATATTTCGAACCAAAATCCTTGTCCTTTAAAGGTATGAGAATGTCTATTTTTCAAAGTGTTTAAAACATATATCTTTTTTGTAATCGCTTAGCGATTTTCAACCGAGCTTCTTCCTTAATACTCGGAAGACGAGACAATTGGCAATTTTTCCAATAAGTATATCTTTAGTAATATTTCCACATACGAGGCTGGCACAGAAACAGGTTTTTATTATGACCGCCCAAATAACCAATCTCTGTTATGTTATGGTTATTGGCGTGGTCAGAATATAAACCTGCTCCTTTTGCAACTGTGGTCGTTCCTGAAGGCTTAAAATAGGCAAGGGCTTTAACAGAGAAATCTATCAGATTTGCTGTGGACAATGCAATAAACATACTACCATTTGACTCCCGGGTCACACGAATGTAGCAGGTAATGAAAAAGTCGTCTGTGCTTCTCTGAGTTGGCACCGTAGATCTTTCAGACAATTCATATGTTGTTCTGGAGCAATTTCATAGTTAGGCGTATCATAAAACTACTGGGCAGCGTATATTGCAGACAGGCCAAAGTCTTGCTAGCACTAAACAAAAGAGGTTTTTTTATGTGTACTGAAGAAATGCTAGAAAACTACCTTTGTCTAACCTTCAACCCAATACCTTTGTCTAACCTTCAACCCAATAAGACGCGAAATTTTAAACGGTGTCTCCAAGAAACTCAAAAACTCATAATCTAAGATATTTTTACAAAGCGCAATTGGCATAGGTGCTTCGCCGGCTAATCAAAGAAATCAAAAAAGTTGTAATTATAAAAAATTATAATTAAAAAATTATTTACTAATTCTTAAAAAATATTCATTAAGCCGTATGATATTGTACATAAGAAATATCTTTATTATTAGTTTAAAACAGTGTGTAGTGTAAAAAAAAACCACGTTCCATTGTGGCAGTAGATGATATAATACTTTGATGGTAGCGAATTAAAATAAATTGGCACATTGATTTTTGGCTAAAAGCTTTTATTTTTTAAGTTCTCGAGAGTTTCCGTGTATATCAGGTTTATTTTGGCCATTCTTCGAAATGCACCAATATTAGTATACGATGATTTATCTCAATATCACGGCATACGAAATATATCTACTTTATATATGAAGACATTATGAAGGGATTTCGCAAAGACTAAAAGCTTTAAGTTTTAAATATTTTAAAGCATGTATTAACATATTTTATAATTTACATGTACAAAATTGCATATTAATTTTTTACGATTGTTGTTGCTTGTGTTTTCCTTCTGACTTCTATCTAATAAGAATATATTTCTCAAAATTGAATTTTTTCATTCAAAACATTTCTTAAGACTAGTTCAGACGCATTTATTGATTTGGATACGAGTTAACAAAGTTAGATTTTCTCAATTTAATTGTAATATATCTTCAAATAATTCACAAATAATAATTACAACAAATTGCAGACCATGGCTGCCACGAAACGAAATGCTGGATTAACGTCAGCTGTTCCAAGGGCCACATTAAACGACGAAGAATTGGTAAGTGCTTATGATGTATTTTTCTGAAAATACTTTTATTAGAGTAAGAATGTAAAAGTATGTAAAGCATGGCATTTTGGAATGAAAGCATAAATGCTCTTCATAAAAATTCACCGGCCATTCAGAGGTGTAGATTATTGTTGTCGTTGTTGGCCGTTTTCTAACCCTTCCTTTGTCTTTTCCTCAAGGCGCTGCTGGCGAAGGTATTTGGGATTTTGTTGCGACTCTGGAGTTGTATTACAATTACAGTCGTAGGCACAATGAAGGAATGCAGGCTGTCGAATGTCACTCCCAATTACTTGGGGTGGTTTATGGTCGGAATTTCTACGCCAGCGATCTCGATCCTGTCGTCCTTGGCCCAGCTGGTGAAGAAGGTGGCCGAACATAAGTCAGCAATATCCTGGTCAGACGGCAGTATCGATCAATCATCAGCAGATCAGGTTGAGGAGGGAGTTTTGCGATTTGAAAGTTAAGCATCAGAGGAAAGAAGACACCACCCTACAGAACGCCTTGTCTAATCTTACTAATTTTCGATGTTTGACTTCGAAATTCTACCGACGATTAACGACAGCACACGTAGCCCATGATTCATTCACCTCTTCAACCCCGGCGGCAATGAGGATTCAGTTCGCGAGCACATCCGGTTATGGCTGAGGTCGTTAACTATTTAGCGTTAATTGCAATTATGCACTTAACGGAGGACATGCTGATTTGCTGGTGACCTCAGATAGTGAAAATCGGGAGTAGCAAGGCCTGGAGAGTCCTTGCTACTGGGGAGCTGACTGGTTTCTCCGGTTTGAGTAGCAGGACCTATTTTTAAAACACTATTATATATACTGGTTTTGAAGTTCAGGGCCACCTTTTCAGCTTTCGCTTTATGTTTTTTTTTACAAAGTTATTGCCATCTATATCCAATCGAGTTTTGAGTCCATGCTGTTGAGGAGTTGACTGGTTTCTCCGGTTTGAGAAGCAGGAACTATTTTTAAAACACTATTGTATATACTGGTTTTGAAGTTCAGGTCCACCATTTCAGCTTTCGCTTAATGTTTTTTTTTGTTGCAAAGTTATTGCCATCTATAGCCAATCGAGTTTTGAAAAATCGGTGTTTTAAAATAGCTCAATATTTTTTCTCTTGACTTTACTTCAAATTTTCCATTTCCTTTTATTCCAGTTACGATTCTGTTAATATTGTCAAATGGCGTTGAAAAGGACTTCCTTATATATAATATAATTTACTAATGATTTCTCGTATTTATTGTTATATTATGTTTAAATTTTATAAATGTATATGTTGTTGTGTTGCAAATGTATGTGTTGTTTGCTTTAAAAATTTATTAATTTTTGTCTTACGTTTAATATATCTTTTTATTATTCTTGTGGAATGCTAGTATATTTCCTTCATTGTAGTTTGGTAGTACAGTGTACTCAGGCCCTTCCCTAACTGATAATTCCCATTGTAGCGTGCTGCCCGAAAAAATACTACTATTGTTTCTTTTCAATTGGTAGTGAGTTTGTCGGGAAGAAGTTTGTTTTTTTATCATGACTCACGTGGGCACACTTTTAAAAAAACTGGAGGCATATGGTTAGTTTGTTTGCATTTCATTATTTGAAATACAATATTAAATTTAATTTTATATTTCTTTTTTTAACTTATTATAAATATATGTGTTTTTGTAGTAAGGCTTTTTTGTTGCTGGTCTTTTGTTTCAGAATAGGACAACACGTTTAAATTTTTGAATTGGTACGAGTATATGAAATGAATGAACCGAAGCATGTAAATACCAGACTACTATAACATATAAGGACGGTTTTTCAGATAAGATATATGGAGGCAAAACCCATAAAAAACAGCATTTAGGAACCTGAAATCTGTTCTACACACATAAAACACACATAAAATGATACTGAAAATTATTGAAGTCGGCTTACTACAAGATATAGCTCCTATACACCTATTTTTTCACATAAAATGCTTACAACATGAAATTTGGTAGAATTAATTTCTATCTTCAAATTGTTGCTGTTAGCCATTCTCTAACCCTTCCTTTGTCTTTTCCTCAAAGCGCTGCTGGCTAAGGTTTTGGGGATTTTGACAGGTTTCAGTTAGTAAAAATTGGGGAAGACCCATCGCAACTCAACCCAGTTACTTCATGGGTTCCTCAGGCTCCATACCTGGTCCCCTGCATTTCAGCATATTTGTTAATGACATCTTCAGTGTGTGCAAATTTTTAAACCTGTATGGTTACGCTGATGACATTCAGTTATATTAATCTGCACCTTTTGATCAAGCTAAAGCATTATGTAAAAGCATTAATACTGACTTGGCTGATATCTCTAGCTGGGCGGCTGCTAGCGGTCTAATTTTAAATAAAAACAAGTGCTGTGTGTTGCCAATCAGTGCTAGAAAACTGACAAATTTGGTTTTTTTGTCCCCCATATTCATAGACAATTATCTCTTAAAATTAGTCATCAAGATTAAAAATTTAGGATACATCATTAACTTCAATATTACATTCACGGATGATGTAAACTCCACTGTTAGTAAGGTCTATCTCATTCTGAGGAATCTTAGGCTTAGTCAGCTATCTAAACGCCCACTGCTACCAGACGCCGACTTGCTATACAAATTATTCTTCCGATTATTATGTACTCTGAAGTCGTATACAGTAAACATGACAGTGTGTCTGCTTGTAAAATTGATGTTATGTTTAATAATGTCACACGGTATGTGTTTGGTCCTTCCAAGTATGAGCACATCTCGTCTTGGAAAGATCAGATATTGGGATGTACGATTGCGGACTATCATAAAGCCAGAAATTGTATTTTTCTTTGCAAACTCATTATGACTCAATCTCCTAGCTATCTTTTTTCCAAGTTATCGTTTACTGGGTCCGCCAGAGTAGGTAATATTATAATACCTTTTCATAAATCCTAGCAATCATCAAGGCTGTTCTTTATCAATGCTATTCGATTATGGAACTCTCTTCCTGCTGAGTTAAGGAGGATATTAAACAGAATCAAATTCAAGAACCACATACTCGTATATATGCATTTTAAAGGTCAAATTTCAAACATAGACTGACCATTTAATAATTGTTTAAATTTATGTCATACTAAGTTCATTATATATTATTATTATTTTTGTTAATGTATCTGTAAAGTAATATTTACTTATTCTTCACACTATCTCTGTTGTACTAAAAAAGATATGGAAATCTTATTGCACCAAGGCTTTGTTATTATTATTAAATAAGTAAATAAACATAGTTAATGAAAGTCATCAAAATTCAAACGATGTTAATTATTATGGAGATTAATCGGATTTTTCATGACGCACTGGAATATGATATGAGGTACAAGACCTTCCAGTCGGGACGGTAGAGGCGATGATGACTTCGCTCAGGGCATCGGTAAATCTGGGGACTTCCGTCTTAAGACTTGCAAAGAGTAGTTAGGTGACTTCCACAAGCCGGAGAATTTGTAGAAGTGGGACATTCGCAAAAAAAATTTAGGAAGTCTAAATTGGAACACAACTGCTACGTCCTATATGAGATTCGACAAAAGGGTATGAATGAGTCCATCAGTTTGTACATAGCGGTGATGACAATAATGTTTGGTAGGCTTAAGAAGCCTTTGTCAGAGAAGAGAATGTTAGGTTAACCTCGGGAAAATCTCGTCTCATTTTACATACCCAGTTGGGCTTGATTACTATAAGTAAGTTAGGGGAAAACTTGCTCTGGTTGGGCAGCTAGAGTCGGTAAGGTCATCGGTGGATGCTTCCGAGCCAAACGGCCAGAGGTTTGTTGGAAATCCATGAATATGTTTCGGTTGGTATAAAGGTTGCGGACCACGCTTATTGTTCCAAGGCTCGATTATCGATTATATATATATATACATATAAATTATGAGCAAACCATCTTAAATTAAAACAGCGTGTATTTAATATATATATATATATATATATATATATATATACGACCTTGGCCAAAAATATTAGGCACCCCACTACAATACAAATATTAGCAAATTTGGCTATCAAAGTTACCACTTCTTTTTGTAAATGTCTTACATGGGTGTTTAACTGTTGATTAAACGAAAAAATTGTTTAATATTAAAAGCCATAGCACTCTGGGTAAGCTCAACCTAAAAATTTTAATTTTTATGAAATTCATAAAATATTTTCGCATTTAAAATTTGAAAGTGAAAGTGTAAATTACATTTAGTGAAAAGTAACCAATCTTATAAAAACAGTTCATTTTTACCGATATGCCTATTAAAAGTTAAATTAGATATGATGATAGAGTTTGAATTCAAGTTCTAAGTGAAGAAGGTAAGTCTCATGCTGGGTTTGCCAATTTGGTGGGATGTTCACGGTGCGCGGTCCAATGTGCTATCAGGCGATTTGTGGAGACGAAAACCCACAATAATACATCAAAAAGTGGAAGAAAGGGTATAACCAGTAAACGAGAAGTCCGAATACTTATACGCGAGTCTCTCAAGAATGGCAAAAAATCCTCTTCAAGGGTCACATGGACAGTCGAAAGTACATAGATGTATTAGAACCTGTTCTCCTGCCTTCGGATGCGTTGGTTTAGAGATAACAACGATGTTTTGTTAGATTGGCCTGCATAGTCTCCAGATCTTAATCCCATTGACCACATGTGGGCTATTATAAAACGCAAGATTAAGAAACACAATATAAAGAATGCCTTAATTAACGAGTGGTATGCTATAAGTACGGACGAATGTGAAAAGCTTCAACGCAGCATGCCTAATAGAATTGCTGCCGTTATTGAATCGAAGGATGGACCTACTAAATATTAATGTTATTATCACTTATTCATTGTATGTTCGCTGTTTTACTAATAAAACTTCATTACTTCACTTGTTAAAACAAAAAATTCAGTACTTCGTGGGGTGCCTAATACTTTTGGTCACGGCTGTATGTAGAAAGGGCGTAAAGTTCATCAGCTGCTGTAGATTTGACGTAATCAAGCCTAATGTGTACAATGAAGCTAAGTGGTACCTGTGTCAAATAGCGAAACAAATGAGAGAAAGGTTAATTCCAGATTCCATGAAAGATAGGGTTGTCAGGTCAGACAACAGATCAGGAAGCGGCCGATAAGTCTCTGGGAAAGGAGGACAAATGGCTTGGTAGAACACTCGTAAGAGAGGATTAACAGAAGTTCTAGTTAGAAACCAGAAAAACAAAACAAACAAACAAAAATTAGTTTTGGATTCCTTTGTGGTGAATTCTTTTCTAGTGGAATAGCAGCTACGATTTTTGAAATAAACCGATATCATTACTTTTGCTGCTGCTTCATTGATTTTGCGGGTGGGTTTACTCCCGTTGGGCCTCATACCATGGACTGCTGTTTTAATTTTGGATCAAACGTATAGAACCAAGATTCGCCACCAGTAACAACTTAACTTATGTTGCTAGACTGACCATTCAAGCGCGATGCATTAGCTTTCATTTCTTTTGTTATTCGTGAGTCTTCGTCAATTTTGGAAGAACTACAGTAACGTCATCAGCTGAAAATTTTAGTTGTAGAAATAGTCTTTAAAGACGGTGCAATCATTCCATATGGAAATTGTCATTCATAGAGTATTTGTTCTGGCTGTAAACTACGCCGAAACCCGAAGAGAACTATATCTCGAATTTCTCCTTTCGTTAATGGTGGAATTTTGTCTGACCTATCATATCTATATCTGGTTTTCATTCATACTTGACATAAAATTTTGTCAAAACAATGAGATCGGATTGCTTAACAATATCATTTGCGTTTGTTTGCATATTTGGCAACGTACGCTTACATAAAATTAAAATTAAAAACAAATAAAAACAATCAAATTTTGATCGACCAATCAATCTTACAACGTTTGCAATAAAATTATATTTGACAACATGTTGCAAAATTTTATTCGTTTGCCATGCGACCGCTTTAAAAAAATTAATTAATCTATGGCATAAAAGTTGTCTTATTAAAAAATAGAGATATACAATAATTAAGTTTTTTTATTAACTTTGACAACTTTTTACGAAAGGCGGGAACGTTTTTAATTAGTTTTTTCTGCTATAAATTTTTTTCATTTTACGTGCTTACATTAAAACTTTTCCGAAAAGAATTTTATTTTCAACTGGTATGGACAACGGTTTGTCAATCGCATGACCCGAAAATGAAAACAGTCTTTGACACTACCATACCGATATTTGTTCAGTTTTTTGATATATTGAAAGCTTATTTGATTTCAAATTAATAGTTGTCTGTTGGTGTAAATTTTTGATGTCAAAAATATGACGTAATGGAAACCACGCACAATAGTAAGACAAAAAATTTTTTGAAAAGATAAAGCATCTGTTATAGCCTAGAAGAGTATACATTTCTACGCGTAAATACCAAAGAAAATAATACTTTTCTAATTCTCAGGATTTCTTAAAATTTTCCTTTTATAATTTTTTTCTACTAGAAAATGCACGTCTACAAGAAGGCCCTGCAAGCACTTATCTATCCAATTTCCTCAACAACTCCGCACAATTTCGTTTTATGGACAGCGACGTCACCAACATACTGCTATGAATGTGAGGGTCTATTGTGGGGTATCGCCCGGCAAGGAGTACGCTGTACAGAATGTGGTGTCAAGTGTCATGAAAAGTGCAAGGATCTTTTAAATGCGGACTGCTTACAAAGTGAGCTTTATTGCATTTTATTTTAAAATTATAAACGAGTTTGTATAAGTATCCTATATTCACACAGCTGGACGTGTACTGGTAGTGCAGTTGGTTAATCAGTAATTAATGCGCTTTCTTTATAACGTCGCAATCCTCATATGCAATATGTAGTACTAATTAAGGGCATAATTGGTCGTAGTCCTAATTCTGCAGTGTACTTATGAGCGCCGTCTGCCCTACGAATCGCACCACTACTTTGTAGTAGCAAAGATATGCACCGCTTCGCTGCAGCAAAGAACGCATATTACACAACGCATTGAAAATTTGAAGTCTAAATTTACAGCTGGTATATGAGTTTTTCCGTACCGCAGTGCAGAAAAAGCATACTGTCTACCCCACAACATTACCATTGACCGCAACGAACGCTGTGGGAAATATCCCAATAGTTGAAAAAGTATGTTAGAGGCATTTTCCGACAAAAAAAAAGGGGAGAGATGTGCGTTGATTTACTTAAGGTTCTAGTGCCAGAGCATGCTCATTTAGGCCCCGAAGGGGTCATTTAGTGAGTGATACACAGACTATACTGTCTACTTCTGTAGAGCACACTTGCAGCCACAAAAAAGTGGACCACAATCAGCAATAATTATGTTAATGATAAGCCTAATTAATATTGCATATACTTCTTCTTTATCTTTATTGGTGTTGGCGCCACTTAAGCGACTATAGCTGAATCAATATTAGCGATTCCAATCCCAAGCTCATTCTCCACCTGAAAGTTCTAACGGAGTCTTTCTCTTCCTCTGCTTCCACCAGCCGGTACTGCATCGAATACTTTCACAGATGCAGTGCTCTCATCCATTCGGACGACATGACCTAGGCAACTTAGCCGCTGAACTATGCCAATATCATAGTATAACTCGCACAGCGCATCGTGCGCCATATGGCAGGATGGGTATGATGAGCAACTTCTAGAGTGTGGTCTTCGCTTGCCGAGAGAGAACTTTTACTTTTCAATTGCCTACTTAGTCCAAAGAGTGATTCTGCGTTGGGTTTCAAGGCTGACGTTATAATTGGTGCTAATACTGGTTCCAATATTGTTGAGCTTATCTATGACCTCGAAGTTATGACTGTCAACAGTGACGTGAGAGCCGAGTAGCGATTGCGATGACTCTTTGTTCGATGACTCTTTGTTCGATGACTCTTTGTTCGATGACAGGATATATTTCGTCTTGTCCTCATTCACTACCAGACCCATTTGCTTGGCTTTTGTATCAAGTCTGGAGGAACCAGAACCCACGACGCAGTTGTTAAGGCCAATTATGTCGATATCATCGGCGTCCGCCAGCAGCTGCCACTTGTAGAAGATTCTACCTTCTCTATTCAGCTCAGCAGCTCGTAATATTTTCTCTTGCAATAAGTTAAAAAAGTCATACGATAAAAAGTCACCTTGTCTGAAACCTCTCTTGGTATGGAACGGCTCGGAGATATCCTTTTTGATCCTGACGGAGATTTCAGTGATGGTCAAGGTCAGTATACAAAGCCGTATAAGTTTCGTGGGGGCTACCAAATTCAGACATACCGGCGTAGTAGCAGCTCCTTTTCGTGCTGTCCTCCTCTAAAATCGACGAAAAGGTGGTGTGGGTCGATCATCTTTTCATGCGTCTTTTCCAAGATTTGGCGCGTGATAAATATCTAGTCAATGGTTGACTTACCAGGTCTAAAGCCACACTGATAAGGTCCAATCAGTTTGTTGACGGTGTGCTTTAGCCTTTCACACAACACGCTGGACCTTTTATGCGATATAAAGAAGGATTATTCGGTGGTCATGCGTTCATCCGATCATATTTTGCAAAGAAGCTTGGCGATTGCTATTTGGCCTTCTTCATAGTCGGGTAACGGAACAGCTTTTCCATCGTTTCTTTCTCCGGAAGCTTTATTTTCACTGCCATTCAGCAGTTTGGAGAAGTGTTCCTTCCATAGACTCTTCTCCCTGCGCCCCACAAGAGTTTGCTCTGATCTTGAAAAATTCCGTTAGTCGTCATATCTTTCCGTAAATTTTTCGAGCATTACCCTTGTCGTCCAACTTCTCAAGTTCCTCCTACTGACGCATGTCGGCCTCTTTTCATCTCCCTGCAAATGCACCTTGCTTCCCTTCATCTATCGTTTCCTATCCCACCCCGCACGTGTAGTAGGTGATCGCAAGGTTGCGAAGTGGGCAGTCTATTCTCTCTACACTTCGACACGGGAACCTTCATAGTACCAGCTATTTTTGCGATCCCTTCGAAATCCAATAGTTTCTTTTGCAGCTGCACGTATGGGAGTTTGAAATGCCGCCCCACAGTTCTCTTATGCCGGGTTGCTGATGAGTGCTCTCAGAGAGCAGGTGTTCATTCACCTTAGTGAATGCTTGTACTCGGCGACGGAGTCTCTCTCCCACCGCAAATCCGACACCGAACGTGCGCTCCTTTTTATGGCAGCTGTAGTAAATTTAACGAAAACCTACTCGCTTTCGTCCTTGTCCGGTCCATCGAGCTTCCTGGACGGCGGTGATGTCAGCCTTAATTTAGCGAGGATATCAATCAGCTGGGCAGCCGCACCTTTTCAATTAAGGGACCGGAAATTCTAGGCGGAAGTTGTGATCTGCTTAAACCATATGCAAAGGAATAGTTTCTGGCCACTTCCATGTGGATGGGAGTCAAAAATTTTCTTGACATACGTGAACTTCTACACATGCCTCCGTCCCTTACAAATGCAAATCCTCGAGCAGTGATGTATCAATTGATTTAGCTGTCTCGTTTTTCGTGGAACATTGGAGCTAATCTGTTCACACAACAAAACAAGTAACGTATTTTCTCGTCTTAGGCTTGAGATCCAACGCAAAATCATTCTTGCCAACAGGAGCTACTTTGAACATTTGAAAAAGGAAAGTATGCTCTGGTTCTCTTCTTTGCGAATACCGCAGACAATGTGTCGATGAACTGTTCGGGGTATGCGACAACATTAAATTATCATTAAGTCGCCGAACGGCTAAGAGCAGAAGCGACTGGTGCACTGTTCTTAACTTCACTATATGCGCTTAAGCATCGAGAAGTATAATCACGACGTTAATTATGAAGAAACCAACCAACCAACTTCTTGGTTTGTTATCACCGATCCTCTTTAACATACGCTTTACTTACAATAAATGGCAAGTTAGGCTAGTTCAACTATTCGCATCTTTTTTACACCCTTCATCCTTTTATGCTCATTCGTGTATTTCTTTTTGCAATCTTCCAAATAGGAGCCGCAGAAAAAAGCTCAAAGCATGGAGCGGAAGACAAAGCTAATTCCATTATAACGGCAATGAAAGACCGCATGAAGCAGCGTGAACGTGAGAAACCCGAGATTTTTGAACTAATACGGTAAGTCTGACAAATCCAACCATTATTTATACATATTAACATACATAAGTATGTAAAAATTGGAGAGAAAAGCACACGATATAGATATGTGAATGTATATGTTTTATATATACATACACACATATACGTGTTACTTTCTCAGAAATGAAAATATATGTAACTGTCAATAAATGATTTAAGCGTTAGAATTTAGCGTGTGAGTTTTCACTTGGTTTCAATTAAATTTGTTAGCCATTTATTTACATCTAACTGTACGCTGTCATACGTTTCTACTTTTTTAACAAATGATGTGTTTCAACAGATTATTTACATTTTCTTTTATATTTTTCTTATATATAGTTCGATATAATAGGTAACAAGGTTTATATAACATTATGTGTAGTTGTGTAAGGAAATCAGTGGATTCCTTTGTATCAGCATTCATGAAAACCTTATTTCATTTGCATATCTTTTAGAATCGTAGCAAGGGTTAAATCAAAAATCGTAAATTAGGTGCCAAATTTCCTGTGATCAAGAAATATTAAACTTCTACGAAAATGTATAAATCTTAACCCTCTCAACTAACTAATGTTCAGAAATACACGACACAATGTCGTATGTATTTTACTGCATTTCTTATTATACAACAGGGTTAATCGCTTAGTCTGACTAATGCTTGCTAAGGTGCACAGCTTGCTCAGTTTTTCTATTCGTACCATGGAAGAGCAATAAAACACATGCAAAAAAAAATATGCTACGGTAATAAATATCCTATTCCCAAGCCTATGAAAAAATATATATTTCCTACAGTTTGCAAGAAGAAAATATCGTACCTGTGTCAGCTTGTTCTTGTTGGGTGCCACCATTTAACTTTTCATATGAATCATTTGCATGCCACGCATTTTCTAGCCATATAATAATAATAAATTTTATACAATTTGTATACACATACATACATATGTATGATATAGAAAGCCTCTTCGCCTCTACATTTTTAGCCGTCTGTGTGTGTGCTCTCTTTGTCAAAAATATAGTTATTGATTTGTATTCAAAGTAAGAGTATGTTGATACGTAGTGGCATATTGTATTGTATTGTCCAGTGTTTTGCTTGTAATCAATTTTTTAGAATCTTGTTTGAGGTCCTTTTAACAGCAGTCGAAATTAAATGCTATCAAACACATATATGTCATTTTTGATAACATTGATGCATTTAATTTTTTAATTTACTCAGCGTTGCAGCCTAGATAATTGATTAGCAGGACTGTTGTATAGAAACTATATTTTATTTCTATTGCAAAAAGTTACTGCTCTATACGGTTTTAATATTTTTTATAAAACTTTTTTCATTTTTTATTATACAACTTTAAGCATTGATTAAATTTTAAAAACAATGAAACAATGTTTTCCTTTTAGAAGTCCGGAATTTTATATTTTTACGTTTTATGTAATTCGCCCACGAAAGGTATCTACTTTCTTCAAACCCACAACACTTCGGATAATATTGGTAAATATATACAAGCGTGAGAAAAGCCAATTACTAAGATAGGTCTATTATGTAGTTCAAGCATTATTCTTATAGATACATATTGCATTTATTTCCAAATATAAGGTTGTCAAATATCTCCCTTCCGCTTATTTGCTCTTCATTCAATGCTTTATATAAAGTGTTACAGTGATCGGATTTAGTTAAAATATGGGTCGTTTTGTTCGATGATCTGTTTCCATCTAGACGGCAACTTCATAATACCTTCCTCGTAGAAGCCCCCCTCCTTATTTGCGAAGAATTCGGACAGCCACTTTTCACAAGCCTCTTTTGAGTTCAACACCAAGGGCATTCGCCATGGACAGGAACAGGTGGTAATCACTTGGCACTACGTCCTGGCTATATGGTGGATGCGATAAAACTTCCCATCCGAGCTCCCGTAGCTTCTGACGTTTCAGCAGCATATCGCAGGCGTTGATCAGGTCCAGAAGGTTTTTTTGCGTCAAATTATGCGGCACCCAAACATCAAACTTATTTTGTATCTAGCCTTCTGCAGATGGTTCAAAATGGTTTGGTGACTAACTCCCATCGCCTGGGCGATGTCACGAGATGCCATATGCCGGTCTAACTCGATGTATTCCATGATTTGATCGGTATTTGTCGTCACAGGTCTTCCGCCGGCTGGCTTATCCATGGTGTCGTTTTCACCGACTCTGAATCGTCGGAACTATTCCTCCGCGGTTCGAAGTGATAGAGTACCATCCCCCAAAACACCATTAATCTCACGGGACGTTTCTCTAGCGGATTTGCCTTTAAAGAAGGAAAACTTTAAAATAGCGCGAATTTCGGCGTTACTGAACTCCATGTTTACACGTCTATAACTGTTGAACGCAATATCCAAACTAATCATAGCGTTGTTTTGTAGGTTATGTCAAGACCTTTCAAATTATGTATAGTGTTGCCAGATTCGAGCTCTGTAGCGCTTTGTACATAGCCGCGAAATGCAAAAGACAAAAAAGCGGAAGGGAGATATTTGAGAACCTAATATATTATTATTGTCAGATATTTATTCTAACGTCAGTTGCCTGCTCGAGCAAGGCAGCGGCATTTTAGTTAAAAAGTATTCCTTCCGCTTGCCCTAGTCGTTCTGCTATCTGGCTGTCAGTGAAAATAAATTTTTTTAACTCTTTCTCAATTAAAGTAATGTTATAGGCTTATCAATATATTCATATATTATGTATGTTTTAAGATGGATTTATCGTGGCATTTTGCCTTTCTTCGCGAAAAAACGTTAAGCTTCCACCTTGCCAAGAGTCTCTTACATTTTGCCGATATCGTCGGAATAAGCTGCTTCTCGTCTATTTCTACATGCTTTTTCCATCACTGTAAGGTCCCAGAATAAGGGTAGGAGAAGAGTTAACCTAAACGAAACGTATCAAAGTTGAAAATAGTGCTTAAAGTAAGCCAAGTAACTACAATTCTGAAAGGTCTATGCTCTGCTAGGAAGCTTATAACTGTGAAGCTATTGTTGGTATTTTATATAGTTTCGATATCACTATGCATGGCTTTATGTTACTATCGTAGGTTACTCGAAGGGGCTTAATATAGAGTATTCTTCAAAATATTTGAGAGGAAAACATTTTGGAAAGATTTTTTTTTTTTTTCAAATGACATAACCTTAGACAAAGTATAAAATTTTTCCAGAAATTCAAAAATGTACTGAGAAGAATACAACTAAGTTGGAGTCTCTAAGTTAAGTCATCGGCCGATTCAAACATATGGAGCTTCAAATTTTCATCTCCATTTTTGGTACACAGCATCAAAATCGCTTACCCACGTGATCACACTTGTTATACCTTTTAATAGGCAGACTGAATACATGACATCCTACCCAGAATTTTAATATAAATACCACTTGTGATGTGATGATTCAAAACCACCCTGAATCGTCTATTGACTGAATCGTAAGAAAACTCGTATATTTTTTGCCTTTTATGTTGTTAAAGGTTTTTTACGATGAAAGGTACTTATAAATAAACGCAAGTGCAGTTCATGCTTTAAGTTTTTAATAAATGTTTTTGTTGTACCATATTCAATTATGTACCTCCACTATGTGTACTTATCATTTAACCAACGTAAACATTAATTTACTACCGGAAACAACTTCTACCACTCCACTACTACTACTACTACTACTACTACTACTACTACTAATTATCTGTGCACATTCTGTGTCCAAACGCAGAGCGGTTTTCAACGTAGAAGATAAAAGTCATACAGGTCACATGAAAGCAGTTAAGCAAAGCGTTTTGGATGGTACTAGCAAATGGTCGGCAAAAATTGCAATTACAGGTTTGCATTGTTTTTATCTAAATATAAATAAAATAAATAGATACATACATAAAAACTCTGTTTCGTAAATTGCTTTGAGTTCAAAACTTACGTACATACGTATACATTATATAATAAACATAATAAAACAAACCAAAAAATACGCCTCTAAACGTATGCGGTATACACATATAGATGAGGATAGGCAATAAAATACATACTTGTATTCAAAAATTAACCAGCTAAACACAATTAATCCATTTCAATCTCGAGATGGGCTCGATTTCTCTGATAGAACTAGCGGGATAAGAATTCGTATGAGATTCTTTCTCGAAAATTTTCGCTATAACAACGTGGTATTCGAAATAATCTATGTTTTACAGTCGGTTCCTTTGGACTCGCTAGTGAACTCACTAATAAACTTAAATTTCTGATTCTATAGTCAAAATGGATGATCTCGATAGTTCTAACAGAGAGATCACCCAATTGATACGAATTTACGTTATGAATTGAGGTTATGATATTCACACACTCACATATATGCACACACGATCGCACACTCACACACGTACAAGATATTCTGAAAGTCCATTGGGGACGCAAGAAAAAGTGGAATAAGTAATTTACATTCAAAATACCATATTAGGCGCTTTGAGCAAGGCAATAATAATAATAATACTATATTGATCACAACACAATAAAACATCTAAAACAAATAGGGTTATTTATTTTTTATTCGACTTGACAAAAAACAACCTTCATCTTGCTGCGTATTTTTAATATATATGTATATCTTTCTATGTGCAATGCCATACATGAATATCTGCATTCACATTATGTTAAGATGTACACGTAAGTTGTAGATGTGTATCATTTTGCCCAAATTTAAATGTATGTATGTATGCGTGAGTGTGTTTTTGTAACTACCCTGCAGGGAAAAATACTAGTTGTCAGCTAGAATTAAACTGGTTTACATTTTTACACCAACTAGTTCATCTTCATCCATTTTCATATAAGCAACTGGAACTTTTAACACGAAGATGTTCTACAAGTTGACAATTGTCCTATTATGCATCAGCTTCATACTAGTTTAACACTAGCTCATTAAGGCATGTTGCATTTCTATTTTACCAAAAAAAAATTAAACGGCTGCGAGAATCGAACCGAGACCCTCATGCATGGAGGAACGAATACGGCGCACTTGAAAAAAACTTTTAGGAAATGAAACTCAGCCGTGTCATACTAAAAACAAAAACAAAAAAATTTAGATAAAAAAATTCTATTTCACCAATTTAAAAAAAAAAAATTTATTGGCCCCTAGCAGGACTCTAGGGCTTAACGCGCTACAGCGATAACCTCTAACCACTCGGCTAGCATGACGATGCAACGATCAATGTCATTTTGCGTACTTCAGTAGAATGGACTTCAGCCGAGGTCTGCCGATTTAACAACAAGAAAAAGTGTTAGAAATTGTTATTTCTCCCTTTGCTATTGGACCTCTTCACCAATAACGAACTGGTATGATATCAACTTCAACATATTAGTATTTAACTAGAAATTTTGCATACTAGTTAGTTTTTCCCTGCAGGGTACTTACAAAGTTACTATAAATATTGTTATGAAATAGTAAATAGTTGAGTTTCCAGAAACATACCGTTGTAATAAAGCTCGAAATATGCAAGCCTATCGTTTTATATTGATCTGTGTTATTTAAGCACTTAGGCAAAATTATTGGTGCGTACTAAAGTGTTTCACTGTTTAAGAGAATATATAGTGTAATACTTACAAATCTTTAATGTTTCCAGCAAGAGAACTGCTACTTATATGCAACCTATATATACATTATATATATGTATTAACAGTAATTCAATTTAATTTTTAAGTAAGCAATGTGGAGATATATTTAGGTAATAACTGGAAACGTTTTATGTCGAGGTGGCGAGATATAATAATCGAAAAGCTTGCATAGTTCTAATAAATTCAGTATAAATGGACATCTTCTCAAGTTTTATGGGATATATTTTATCAAAATCTATGTTCGAATTATTCATTTAATTTGTTGTTTTTTATTTCAATTTAACGCGAAATTCCAACGAAGTTGGCGGATAGAGTTTCTAACGTAGACACCCCTTACGCGATTATAGTCGAGTTAACAATATTCTTCACTAATTTCTTGTTTTCCCAGCGTGGCGCCAATTGAAAATACCTGGTCCCTTCCTTGGTCTTTCCAACGGAGTGGAGGCCTTCCTCTACCTCTGCTTCCACCGGATACTGCATCGAACACTTTAAAAAATGAAGCATTCTTATTCATCCAGACCGCGTGACCTAGCCAACTCCAGCTGCTGTTTCTTGATTCGCTGAAATATGTCAATGTCGCCATATATCACGTACAGCTTATCATTCAAGATGTTCGAAGTTATGACTGTCAACAATGACGTGGAAGTCTATGGGATCATACTTTGAAAAGAAGCTGATGCGCGCACCTTATCATTCCTTTAGCCAGTATTCCATCGGTCCTCGCGGCTTTGTTGTTTTTCGAGCAGCCGATTGTTATTTGAACTTTTTAATATCCGGACCCAGAAACGTTTGTTTCATCGTCGATTGGGGAATCGGGTTCGCCATCTCCTGGTGTTACCTTTTCACTGTTGATTACCCGCAAATGTGTCCCTTCCGTAAATTCAGTAGTATGACATCAGTTAATTATTGTAGATAATTCTGAACAGCAGAGGGGTTTTTATGAGAAGCTTTTGATTTTTAGCCAGAAATACACTCCATCTGACATTCCCTGCCGAGGGTCAACCGCATAATCTTAAGTTTCTCCTTATAGTCACAAAAATTCAAATCGAAACCATTAGAATTTAGTCTTGAGATTGGGTTATTATCTAAATCTCATTTTTTAAGTAAAGTTTACGCTTACACATTGTCTTGTTAAGCCGGATATATGTATGTTTGCATACTCGTATGTAAAACTAATTGTGAGGTGCACAATACAAAATCGAAGACAAAACTTTACTATATTTGATTTAAACAAAATAAAAACAATTTCTTTACATTTATTTTTTTTTTTACAATTTATTTCAGTTATATTGAAAGCAGCAACCGTATAAATTAAATATTTGTGCCCTAAACACAGACTCGCTTTTCAGTTTTTGGATACTAAACAGTTAAATAGACGAATAATCGATCCAAAGACACACATAAATTGAAATTCGATTTGTTTTTCAATAACACAGCAACTTTGTTTACAATCAGTAATTTTGGTATGTAAGCATAGTGTGGATAATTAAACTTTAATATATATGTAATAAATAACAAACTTATTCTCGGTGTTTAAATTTATTTCCGTAGAATTGTACTAATATGGTTTAAATTTCAATGGAATTGAGATTAAGCTTTATTATACAAATGTTGGTAAAATGTTGCAGTTTCTATTGATTTACTGTTTTCAAAGGAGCCATAAGTCTTCGAAGTACTCGTATGTGCTTCTTCAGTTACCGCAACAAAAAACGACATTCTTCATTACAGTATGAATTCTACAAATGGGCCTCAGAGCTTCGAAAATTAAATTCTTATATTTTATTTCGGGGAAACCCAAAAATCAGCACCACTAAATTGCTTTAAATATGTATGTGTGTAAAAGTGTTGTTACTTATACAGTTTACCGATTTGTAATATTCTTAAAAGTTTTAAAAGTAGCTATTTAAATCTCCATAACCAGAAAGTTGGATGGTTTTCCAGAGATCGCTTAATTGGAACGTTGAATTGATCTTTTAACATTCTTCGTACTTTTAAAATTTTATGAAAGTTCTCATCATTTCTCTAACTGTTCTTCAATCGCAGTCGCAGAAACAACAGACAGCGCACTCTTCTCTAAATTTTTCTGTAACGGTAATATATATTAGCCGACGAAAAAAGTTCGTTTTGCATTGCGTATGTATAAAAATATGTATATTTTTACGTATGGGTGACCAAGCATATTTTTTTATAAAGTCCTTCGACTTTGATAATTATTTTCTTTTATTAAAAGGCGATAGCTTTACCAGAGAGGAAGGAAAGGGACTTTTTATTATCAACGTATAATCCTGCATATCCCGATGTCCCGTAGTCCGATTTCAATAATTCCCTTTCATTTGAGTAAAGTCTACTTTAAAGTCTGTTCCCCAGAAATTAAAAAAAAAAGACATTTAACCAGAAGGGTTAAAGTGGGAAAGTGCAAATTGTTTTATTTTTCCTTTCAATAATTTTTCTCTTGAAAGCTAGAGTTTGTTTGATAACGAAGAAAGCAGACGGTTGTTAAGGCCTCTGATATATGTTATTATTGTATGTTCTCCAGCGTCTCCAACACGATAAAGAATATATGACGCAGAAGGGTGGCTCTAGGAGTTTTCTAAAAAAAGTTTTGCTAACGGCTTATGGTCTTTTGCGTATTGGCAACGGCGAATACCGCAGACGTCTCCAACTTACAGATAAATAAAACTCAAAGTTTGTTATTCTATTATATATATTTACTTATATTTGTGCTTGTAACCACTGAAGAGATTCAAGGCATTTTCGTTGTTGTTTCGTTAATGAAATTAAAAAATGTAAAGCAATGTTTGTCAAATTAAAGAATTGTCGCGGGCGTTTGTGGTAGATTATCCGCAGATTTGTATGTTTTGAGTGAATAGAGAAAAATGAAACCAATGAATTACTAATATATTAAAAGGACTGGATACAAAAAATATACCTTAACTCTAGTATATTAATCTTTTTCTTCTGTCATAAACATCGCTTGCGCATTTATAGCTGAGTTAAAAACAGTGCGCCATTAATTTCTGCTCTCCACTGTTTAGCGCCGTTGCTCTTCTCCACCTGCTTCTTTAAACGGAACGATGGTTTTCCTGTTCAACTGCACCCTTCAGCGGGTACTGCATTGAAAATTATCAAAGGCAGATTATTCTTATTTTTGCGGATTAAATGAGTTAGAGAGTGTAGCCGCTGTCTTTTGATTAACATAACTATGTCAATGTCACCATATATAT